ACAATTATATAGCGTTTTATCATCATTATTATTCCTACTATTGATAGTTATCACGGCACGGCACGTTTCTTTATGTTCTCGAATATTCGTATGAAATTATAGAATGATGTAATTGATTTATTTTCGGAATAGCCACAGCCAAATTATTTTTCGAAAAGAATCATTCGTTATACAGCAGTATTTACCAGTTAACACGTGAACGTCATTGTTCAACCTTTAATCACGAGTGATTGAAAAAATTGAATCTGGTTTGCAAAATATATAACGATAAAATAAATTTAATAAATTTAATAAATTTCATATATTATGCATTGAGTGCATGAGGCAGGTCATGTGTAATATATAATGATATCATGCATGTATAGGGTTAGACAAAGACGTCAAAAATAATCTGAATAATCATTTGTCCAGTCATATGTCATAATGACACCTAGCAAAAAATAATATTTTCTGATATTATTTTTACTGAGTATGAGTAATTAGGATAGAATTTTTACTGGTCGATCACAATATCCCCTCGTGTAACCAAATTCTATAGGCTAGGCGTAACAAAGAACTTGAAACCCTAAAAAAAAAAAAAAAAAAAAAAAAAACAAAACACTTGAAACTTTGTCAAATGTGAATGTGAAACATGTTATTTATTTTGTTCTTATAGTGATACGTGGCAAATAGTTGGCACATTGTTAATAATTGGCGCGAAAAAAATTTTTTTTTTGTTTTGAGAGCGGGAGTCTAAGCAAAAAAAATTTTTTAATGGACACATGTTATCGAATGTAGTTGATTTATTACCATCTAAGTCAATTTTAATTATGTTTATCAAATTTGATGAAATTTTTTTTTTTTTTTTTTTTTGTAAGTAAATCAAGGAATGCTGTACTTGAATTTCGAGTAGTCGTTTAAAATATTCTATCCTATCACTTTATTTTTTTTTCTTATGTCAATTAGCAAATTTAAAAAAAGTCGTGTATTTTTAATATACAAAATAGGGGAATTGCAATGAAAGTAACTTTCTATTTCTCATTATACGTGATTGATGAAAATGCATACAGGTGATAAGATCATTACAGATAAGAACCTTCGTCATAGAGACCAAATACGTAATATCGTAATATCTGAACCACATATAGTTACCTCCTGTATAGTCGTGATCATCTTTTTAATAAAAATTCTTGGTTTCCTATTATTACTTTGTGTATTTACTCATACACTCTTTCATGTTTCCAGAATACCCATCAGTCCCCAAAGCTCTTTGTTACAATGTATGTCGTGGTAATGCGGATAACGATCACACATGATATTCCTGCTTACGTGAAACAATGAAAGCAGAACATTAAAACAAATTTAAAAAATTTTTTGGTTCTTTGGAGAAAATGTACTGAGAAAAGCTTGTGCAGATTTATTATTTTTCGGAAAAATCTTCGAAGTTGAATCTACGATTTGTACACAATTTGTTACATGATAGTAAAGATTGCTGATCCAACAGCTGATTTCTCTCAGTTCATGTGAATTTTCAGGCGGGAATGCATTTGCAAATATAATGCCCGAAAATAAAAAGATTTTAATAAATTTTATATTATTTTTCAAATGAATAATAGCTTCATTTTTATAATTCAAATGATGAAAAGTGTTTGCGATCAAACTTATTTCGTTTCGTCTTATCTATGAATACTGATTTGTCCCTATTTCTCGTAAAAAAAAAAACGACTCAAAATAATTAAAACAATCATTATTCAGCAAGTTCACGTGATAATGATAGATGCATGCACTTGAACAATAGGAAAATCTACAATAAACAAACAATGACTTGCATATTATACATACAAATGTACTGTACAGTAATTTTAAAACAATAAGGTACATTTTACTCACCGAGCAGTATATATATAATCATTATTAACAATCATTTTTACTTTATTCAAATATATATATATATATTAATATCTTTTAATTACAACACGTTAACTTTGATGTTTCATTTAAATATATCGTCTATATCGTATATGATGATATTGAATAGAAGAGGAATCATTGTATGCCCCTATTGTTAGTATCAAAAAGAAAAAAAAATATTATTTTTTATTGTGAAAAAAAAATAGCGGATCAAAGTTTAGTGTCTCGTCTTTAAATAGATATCTCAATAACAAAAACGCACACGTTTTGAGCACGCAAGCCTTTAATCTTTATTCGCTAACCGATTTCTTGATGGGTTGAAACTTTTACGCACACGTAATTTCTCGCGGAATTACAAATTTCCGTTTTAATTGATGACATAACTCACGAAAATCTTTTTTTCAGTTATAAGCTAGATTCGATGATTATGGGGTAATTTATGCAGTTATATCTAGGTTTTAATAGTAAATATCAAGTAATATTTTTATATTTATTTTTCAAATAACCATATATTAATAGATGAATTATTATGGGAAATGAGTTCTAAAATTGCTTATTGATATCTCAAAAATGAATTATCTATAGTACGATATTGCAAAATCACCGTCATTAAAAAGTACATTTCTAGATGAACGGTGGCGTCAAAACAAATAAATTTATTCAAATATTTTAATATAGGATAATAAATTGAATGATAAAAATGTGAGTAATAAATGTTTTACATTGTTACGACCAATGTATCTTTTTTTAAATTTTAACATAAAAAAGAAACTAAAGGGGAAAGTAAGAAAAAAAAATTACTCAGAAACCTCGTATCGTGAATAAAAATTTCCAAAATATGTGGTAAAGTGTATCTATCTAAAAAGTTTCTCTTTCAGAAATATAAGTTTTGTTCATTAATTTTTCCAAGAAATAGATTTCCCACGAAAAATATTAACTACAATTCATTAATATGGCCTTGATCTACATCATACTTTATCTTACAGTATAATTTGCAACACTAATACCATCCATATGGAAGTACCATCTGCGTGGATGTTTCTGTTAGAATCGGATTTTTTTTTACTCAGGTCCGCACTGATAATGAAGTCTTTAAAGTGTACCTATTTAGGTAGTTTAACAAAGCAAACAAATATGCAAAGGAATAATTCGGAAAGACTGATTTTTTTCCTTTACTTTTGCGTAAATTAAAAGATTTGTTTCGTTAAAACTAACGTAATTTCACATGCTCAAATTACTTTGAGAAGCAAACAAATATAAAAGGAACGAAAATCGTTTTTTATTCATATCAAATTTAATTCGACATTCGAAATGATCATAATTTTAGTATAGACAAGTTGAAATAAATGCTAATGTTAATTTTTTTCAATGTGTAAGACGTATGTATATAGTTAGACTTATTTTCGGATGATATTGAAAGATTTTTTTTTTACTTTGCCATGAACATTTTCCATTTAATAAAATTCAAGTACAGCTTAGCGTACAAGAAGCCTACTTTCAAATAAGGGAAATAAGGGAAATAAGGGGAATATTAGTACTATTTGTCTGGTAAATATAAGTACTTCTTATTCGTGTTTTACTTGGTATCACGAAATGAACGGATTTTAATTTCTTTTTAAAAGTATGTCGTAAGCAGATCTTTTTTTTTATTTGTAATAAAAACTTTAGATACATCAATGAAAAAAATATTTTTATTTATCGTTCCCTGTTTGTAAAATATTTTACTTGCATAAAATAAATATTTTTTAATTCAATTAATTACCAATACAACTAGCATTCAGAGTAGATTTGTTTCATAACAATAATGATCAATGTGGTGTTCAAATAAATGCACGGAGCACTTTTTATTCATGATGCCAAACTTGCCCCTTCAAAAATAAAGAATTAATTATTAAACTTTATAATGCACAACAAATGCGTGACCTAGCGCAAATAATTTAATTAAAAAATTTTAAGTGAAAACAAATCTTTCCGCATGACTACAAATCAAAAAATTTATTATTGTTTTAAAAAAAAATGTTATCTCCCGTTAATCCGGTTTTTACCGATTAAATAATCCACGGTAAATAGCTACTTGTTCCTTCTTACATTGTGTGTGTTTGTAAATATTGAATTATTTAATTGATTTTCATCGAGAACTGCAGTTCGCTTATTGTGATTATTTACCGCGTGGCATCGATTCTAAGATAAATCACCCTTTTTCTTTTTTTAATTCTACCAACAACATGTTTGCATGCAATTCATATAAATCGCACAGATTCTTGAGATTTACATGAGGATCGTCTGTTACAAATCATAAAGGATCCTAACCAATGTTAACTTGGAATATAGCTAAAAAAATTCCCTAATTTGTACTATAATGTAAAGTTTATTCCTTAATCTAACGGAGAAGAGGAGAATAGGAACTGATTTACCAAATAATGATTAACGGAACAAGGGTCTTTTCTATTAAAATCGCATCAAGAGAAAAAAATGATCCAGAACGTCATTCAAAAGCAATTGTTCATTTGTTACTATTGCTGCTGTCATACATAAACTTAAATCGAAAATGGACAATAAGGTTTGCTAATCGATAGATTAATAAAGATACGCGTTTTAATTAAGTTTACTTTTAAATAATTGACTGTCTTGAGTGCCATTACTATATATTTATCATTAATATGGTTAAGTAATAATTGTTTACTATGGATTGTCAATGCTATATAAATGAACATAAATATATATAGCTGAACATAAATTTTTATCCCAGGCACCAAAACATAAAAAATTTAAAAAAATCTAAAAAAAACAAAAACTTGAAAAAAAATTAAACAAAAAAAAAAAATAAACTAAATTCTATAAATACGTAAGGAAATGTCTTCAAATATGGCCGATATTTTTAACCGCGAAATCCTTGCAACACCATCTATAAGAAACCATCAAAGAAAGCATAGAAATCATCTTAGAAGGCAACGAAACGCATACATTTCATTTCGAAGACACCTTCAGCATAATGCATTTATGAATAGGATCGCAAGGATCCCACCTCAGAGTTCGAATAATGCGTTGATTTATGGATTTTTTAATGGATCCCAATTCAATTGAAATAAGCTTTTATTTTGGCAA